GATAGCGGTGACCGTGAGGCTGAGGGGAAGCGGCCTCCCGGGGCCACGGCGGTGACCTGCCGGGGACTGAGTCTCCTTCCTCTCAGTCTGTGGGTGGGGGGCGAGGGGGAGACGGGGGTTCTTAGGGAAAGGCGCTCAGCCGGGGGTGGGGGTGAATGGGCGAGGGGGAGTAAAAAGGACAGCTTCGTAGATGACAGGCGGTGCAAGGAGATTCTGCTCTTGTCAGGGAACGCTGTAGCCTCTTCTGCTTCGTTTTAATCGTTTGAAAATCGTTTGGCCTCAAATTGGGCCAGGGAAGGTTTAGACTGGATATCAGGAAGCATTTCTTTCCAGAAGGGGCTGTTGGGCGTTGGAATGGGCTGCCCAGGGAGGTGGTGGAGTCCCCATCCCTGGAGGGGTTTGAGAGTCTCTACATAGCGCTGAGGGACCTGGTGTAGTTGGGAACTGTCAGTGTTAGGTCAATGGTTGGACTGGATGATCTTCAAGGTCTTTTCCAACCTAGACGAATCTGTAATTCTGTGAAAACTGTTACATTTTTTGAAAGTTGTACCCTTCTGATGCCATGTCGTTTGGCCTTCATTTACATTGTGCCATTATCTAAGTCATGGATAATGTACAAAGTGATATATGCTGTCACAGGATATAAGGAGAAAGGAGGAAGGTCTGGATACAAGCCATGGTTTAGAGTGGCTTGTCCCTACTACAATACTTTTTAAGAAACAGCAGTTCTTAATTTTTTATTCCACTGAAAGGGACCTGCCCTCGACAGGTGTTGGTTTGCTGGAGAACGAGTGAACTATCCTAATTTCTCCTGCATTTGCTTTCAGGGGCCAAGTCAGGAATATGGCAACTCTAAAAGACAGTAAGTACTGCTTTCATTTGCTTTGGAGAGAGGGAGAGTGTTGCAGGAAAACCATATATTAAAATGTAATTTTGGTTAGCCTCTGTCAGATAAACTGCTTGTGATACACCATAGTACTGCTGTATGAGCCTCCAGTAGTTTGTATATTAAACAAGTGTCTTTCAGAAAAGGCATTGCTTAAAATGGTTTTAGTGCTAATTTAGATGTCATTTTGGCAAACCAGTAGTTTTACTCCAACATAATTCATATATTCTAAACCAGATTTTTTGCTCACCTTTAAGAATTGATTTCTGTTATTTCCCTGTGTGTTTATCCAACATAGGGGAGAAAAAGGCTGACAGAATGGTTCCACTTTGATAATGGTTCTTTAAGCAGCTCCTTGTAGGTTCTTATACAGGGATATTGTCTTGGAATTGTGCTAGTTTTTAGGAGACCTGTTTTGTTTTCTTTTTACACCAGTATTTTTATGAATCTCATTTTTCTACAATCTAAACAGAGGAGGAAGTTTATTCTGTCTCATCCTATTGGGTCTCTCCCCTGCCCCTTGTTGTCTGGAAAAAGATAACAATATACCTCAAATGATATATTTGTGAAACAGATAGAAGTGGAAGGAAAGAGAATAGTAAATAGGTTAAATATTAAATAAATGTTATATCTGGAGGAAAAAAAAATTTATCTGATGTAAAGGTGCATTTGGGTTAGACACGTTACTGCTCTTAATACTTTCTTAGTGTAAATATTAAGGTCTTTTATGAGGTTTATTTGTGCATGGCTTGTTTATTTATTTTTTTATTCTTTGAGGAACTTGGCAAGATAATTTTGGATGGCTGTTGCTAGGATTTTATTCCTTGGTTTTGATGTCATTATGCCCAGTACAGCCCGTGACCTTCAACTATTAACCTTGTAGTTACCAGGCGTTTGAAGTCCATCAAGAACATTCAGAAAATTACAAAGTCTATGAAGATGGTTTCTGCAGCAAAATATGCAAGAGCTGAGAGGGAGCTGAAGCCTGCTAGGGTCTATGGAACAGGAGCACTGGGTGAGAGAAGACTCCTGCACTGTTTGATGTGGGAACAGAAGAGGAAGGCTTTCATGGTGGTGATAAAATGCCTAGACTTTTTTAACCTTTAGGTAGATTTTACCCCAAAGAATTAGTATCTCTAGGCCAATGTCCCCTTGACTGTTCCTTTTAAGTAATTTACGGAAAGTGAATTTTACGAGTTGTAATGTGAAATTCATTATGATTTCTGATTACTTTTTTAACTTTCTGTGGTTGTTAGTCATAAAAGCACCACAACTCAGAATTTCCGGCCTGCTTCTATCTGTTACTGGAATTGTGTCCTATCTCTAGTGTCTACAGCTACTGCCAGACCTCCTTGTGAACACTTGGGCTGCACTTGCTCCCGAGGCAGTGGACTTGCACAGTGAACTTAATTAAGTAACAACACTGTGTGATAACCCGATGCAGAGATGTGGCTGGCTTTGAATTGTCTCTTTGTCACCTCTGGTCAGATCATAGGCAAGCTTGAATGATTGTGAGGGAGACAAAATTCATCTGGCTATGATTTTTAACCCCTTTAGAAATTTTTACATTGAATAATTCAGAGGTATTTTGGTATGACCTATTTGCTTCCTGACACCCTTGAATAACCTATCCATCTGTTTTTTAGCTCTCTATGAGAAAGCAGAAATAAAGGCACCGGAGGACAAGAAGAAGCACCTCCTTATTGGTGTGTCCTCTGACAGAGGTCTTTGTGGTGCTATCCATACATCCATTGCTAAAACCTTGAAGAACGAGATTACCAACCTCTCAAACGCAGGGAAAGAAGTCATGGTGGTTGGAGTGGGTGACAAGATCAGAGGCCTACTTCAGAGGTAAAAAGAAGGGTTTGGTTTGGTGGATTTGGTGGTTTTCTGTGGTAGAAATTTCAAGATGGCTTGGAAAGCTGTGTGGTGTTCACAGGCAATTGCATTTAATGAAACTGCTAGATTCAAGTTCTTTTAAAAACAAACCAAACCAAAAAACCTGCAAATATTCTAAGATGGCTTTTGATCATCTGGACATTTGTGAAACAGCTGCCACTGCATTATTATATTTTTGGAATAAAAGTCTGAAAACTACCAACACTAGCATTGCTACATATGTGTTTATCATGAAGCTATCGTAATAATTAAACTGAAAAAGAAGCAAAATTCATCTAAGACCCTAATTCAGTAAACTGCTTAGTTTTGAACGCTAGTAAGTTACTGGGACTCATTGCCTCTTGGTGCCACATAATTGTGCTTTAGAGCATACACTTCTTCTAACACAGATGTGGTATTGCTGCAGGACACATGGCAATTACCTACTGCTGACATTCAAAGAAGTGGGACGGAGACCTCCGAGCTTTGGAGATGCTTCGGTCATTGCCTCAGAGTTGTTAAACTCTGGGTATGAATTTGATGAAGGCTCTGTCATTTACAATCGGTTCAGGTAAGATTAAACTGAAACTGCACTAGAAAAATACTGGGTAGAAGGCTTCGAAAGAGCACATTGGCCTGACTGATTGGTCACATTTACTTTATTTCTGGAGGAGTTGAGTGCATTTTGGTGTGTGTGAAGAGCTGATTATTCTTTTTTTAATAGCTGTGTTGGAATTCTCTTATTTGTATGGTGGGTGCTTTTATATTTACAGTCAACACATCATTATATCCACGTGCTATCTGAGATCACTTCATTGGGATTATCGCAGAGCTTTGTGGAATTGGAAGGCCAGAATTTGTCTATTCTGATTTTATTTTAAGCACCCAATTTAGGGTTAGTTGAATTGAAGAGCCTGTTAACGCTCTTTTTATACAGGTCTGTCATCTCCTACAAGACTGATGAAAAACCAATCTTCTCCCTTGAAACAGTTGCTGGTTCTGGTAAGTAGTTAGCTAGAAATCAGCAGTTAGATGAAGTGATAAATCACAGAAAATGTACTCTGAACGTGGGAATATAGTATTAAAACATCTTATTATGGTGCATGTATCTTTAAGTTTAACACTGTCTTGGCACTCCAGGCCTGAGCTGTCAAGGTGCTGTGGGGCAGGGAGGTTAAAAGGAGAGGTGGTATTAATTTTAGTTTGAGATTCTCTCTCAAGAAAGAATTGTTCATATACAAAACACTGTCAAGATCAATATTTTCAGCACTGAACAGCCTGGGTATTGAGTGACTTTGCACTAAGTAAAAATACCCCAGAATGCTTCTGCAGCGTTGTCTGGGAAAGTTAAACATAATACGTCAATAATGTATTTGGCCTTGATCAGAATCTGACTTCCCTAATAAATTGAATTAAAACACATCAAATACTTAACAAAATTTTAAATAGCAGAGCAATTATGGAAGTACACATAGTAGGTAGAGAAAATGCCTCTGCCTTAAGTAGAGAAACAGGGTAGCCTAGTAGTCTTTCACATGGCAGTGTATTGTTTTACTAGAAGTAGTACATCTTGGATTTCTCTAAGTCCACGCTCTCATATTTTACAGAAAGCCTAAGTATCTATGATGATATTGATGCTGATGTGCTGAGAAACTACCAGGAATTTACACTAGCAAATATTCTGTACTACTCTCTGAAAGAATCCACCACCAGCGAGCAGAGTGCTAGGATGACTGCTATGGACAATGCTAGCAAGAATGCTTGTAAGTCTACACTGTGGGCTTCCCGGGACTTCAGTATGAAAGTAATGACCTCCCTTTCTGTAACTCTTTGCTTCCAGAATGATAAGAAATGAGTTGTTTTCTCTCTTCCATTCAATTTTGAGTCTGTTTTTTTGAGCCAATTGAACTGGGATTCTTTTCTGAACATGTGAACCTTGATTAGTCCCTGGAAAGCTGGATTGCTGTCAAGTATATGAGAAACAAGACTAGGTAATTGGACTAACAAATTCTTTAATAAGAATATGAAATACTACACTGATCTTGTAATGGCCAAATATTCTTTACGTTCTTCTCATGTGTCTGATCTAAGGATTTCCAAAGCTTTTATAAACCTGTACCTACTTGTGAGCCAAATGTAATTAGTACTGCACCGATTTAAAGGTGGGTAAAGGGAAACAGTGGTGAAATACTTTACCACCTGTCATGCAGCAAGTTGAGAATATACGAGTATTCCTTGGAAGGTGTCCAAAGTGAGTGCAGTGCAGAGTATGTAGTCGGTATTAGTGAGAGACAGCTAATAGTTTTTAGTGTGGTATGGTGATAAGACTTCAGCCTTAAGAAGGTAGTGTTGCATAAATGATATTAGTGACTGACTGAAGCCCTTGTGATGTGCAATTGGGCTACTGGGAACTGTAGGTGTGTCTCTGCTGACTGCCTTATCTTGAGAGAAAGAGATACCTTCCACGTTTTTTAAAAAAAAAAAAAAGAAGAAAAAATCTGTCTCCCTTTGCTTGAACAACAACAGTAACTTGAAAGAAATACCAGTGTAGTTAACTGACAGTGAAATCTAATTTAAAAGCAGACAATGCATGCTTGTGTTATGTTAAAATAAGCTGTGTCATACTGTGGTATTTACTAGCCTGTCAGCTGTTCTTCAGTTGTTTAACTCTGATGCCTCAAGTCAAATTACCAAGTTTCTAAATTGTCTACGACAAATTATCTGTAGGAGAAAGAAAATGAAAAGTGTGGTAAGCCTCTTGATCATTTCCAAGACTGATTTTCTGTTTGTACAGCTTCTCTTCATCTGTATTTGAATACTTACATGTTGTAATTCTAACCTTAATTTTTTCTAGCTGAGATGATTGACAAATTGACCTTGACATTCAACCGTACCCGTCAAGCCGTCATCACCAAGGAGCTTATTGAGATCATCTCTGGTGCTGCTGCTCTGTGAGTACCTGTACAGTCGTGAAATAGAAGTCGTTGCAAAGTCGAGTATGCTTGTATGTCCTGCTTCAGTCAGGTTAACGGGGAGGTTAGGGCATGTAGGTCCTAAAACTGAAGGGAAGACAATCCATGGCATGACTATCGAGTTTTACAGCTTGCGCAGTTCTACTAACAAATGTGAAGTTTGGCAGTCTTTTTTGGCCAGAGGAAGTTAAAAAGCTGGTAAAATAGATCTTTAGACTCAACACACATCCTTGCCTGAACAGGTGGTGGTTTTCCTCCTTTTTGGAGTTCAGTGGATTTCCCCCCTGCTCCTCTCTTCTACCTGGGCCTCTCCTACTGTCTGCTCAAACAGCCCAGTAGTGTTGGGTTGGATAAATCAGCCTGTGCTGGTGCTCATAAGCTGAGAGTTTGGGGGTGGGGGTTGGAACGAGGGAATTTCCAGTCTGTTGGCACTGAATGTGTATTTTACTTTAAGTTCAGTATTTTGATTATTTCCCTGAGAAAGAAGTTTTGTGAAGGTGTGTACTGCAGGTTACAAACGTGTGGGCTTAGACCACAATTTGTAACTGCCTGTAGCTAATGTGTATTACATTTAACAGCAAAAATTTGTGCTATACTCATATGCAAATACGTGTGTTAATATGCTGTGTGTTTTCAAAAAACCCGGAATACAACATATAGCGGTTACATGCTGTATTGTGCTCCTCACAATACATTTGTGGTCAAAAATAAGTGCATAGTTTTGCCTGAATTTGCATGAGTTGCTTCCTAACCTGCTTGTTCTGTTTTCTCTCATAATACCATAACCAGGGATTAATCGGAAAAAGCGGTACAGCCAAATCCAAGAGGTAAAGTTATGAAATAGAAACTAGATTGTATTTTAAAATGGATTAACACAGATAATCTTGAAGTCACATGAGGAAGTTGGAATTCGGTGTTGTTGGTCAGACAAACTCCTCTTTTCAAAGGGCTGGGAAACTGCCCACTGCTAGTTTGAATCTGTCTGAACAAAAAGTTATTAAGGGTCAATAATTTAAGCAAAATAGCATACATCCACATTTCACATAGTTTTCTATTTTTTTTTCATGTGGTGCTGGATTCATTTGCAATTACTGTTTCAATCTTTTTTATAGTGCCCTAAATACAGTGGCTTTAAAATGTCTGTATGTAAGATTGTACCTAAAGAGGTTTCTGTAGCAAAATAAGCATATTCAAAACTTCAAACTTCAAGCAAAAACAGACTTGATAAATGGGGGGGGGGGGGGGGGGGGGGTAAGGAATACTAGTGAGTTGAAATACTCAAATTGGAGGAGGCAAAAGTTTTAAATAAAACCCCAAATAATTAAAAGGATTTTAATTCGCTTCAATTTTCCCTACAGGTGAAGAAGAGCTCTTCTGAGCATATGGTGTAACATGACTGTGTCTATATTAACAAGACTTCTCTGTTATTTTGTGAAGAAGTTGATAAAGCCTCAGAAATCTGTGAATTCTTACAATAAACCATCTACATGAAACAAATGTTCATGGTTGTCTATGGAGCTCTTGGTGTCTGAACATCTGGATGTGACAGTTACTGTTTGAAACAGAATTCTTTAAAGCTGTGCTCTACATTTTGTAATGTATCTGGCATGCAAAACCATCTAAGCAGGTGTTTCTTTGTTTGAAGAGTGGAAGAGATTGACTGTCTTTGCCTGGTGTTTAAAAGTATTGGTTTAATGTACATTGTCCTGTGTGCTGAGGGGGGAGGCTGTGAAATAACCTCTGCGTTGTGCAGTTGGAGCATGGATCTCTAGCTTATTTGAATACCATATTGCTACTATTTCTAGATGTTCATGTTCTAAAATGATCTGATCTACATGAGTCATTTGTGCACATTGTTCATATCCCGGTCAGTGTATGTGTGTGTGTATTTGTGTGCTATAAAATACAGTACCACCGCAGTTCTCAGCCCTTGCTGGGCACGACAGGAATGTGAGGAAAGGATAAAATGTAGAAAATAGAGTATAGCGGAAGTGTAAGAAATGGCAGTGGTGCCGTAGAAGTAGAAAGCTGCCCCTCCCAGTTTGGCAAAGTGAGAGCCTTGAAGGGCTCAGTAATGACGACAGAAACTGGAGGAGGGTTTGTAGGTCTGGAGAAGGGAAATGGCCTTGAGCTTCACAGCAATCTGTGAGTGAGACACGGGGACAGGCGTAAGCAGCCACCCTGGTGGGTTGAGTCAGACCTAAGTCAGCTGGTCTAGAAACCCTACAATCAAGTGCTGAGCTTGAGCTAATGTTTCCTTAGAGGCAACTTGTTGGCTTATTGAAGGGATGTGGGGATGCTGCCCTGTAGCTTTCGGTGTGCTGCCTCTGGGTGTATGTCAAGATGTGCATGTGGGTAAGGGAAGCAGTAGCATGACCTGAGGTGGGATTAAGAAAGAGAGAGCAGATTTGTTACATATTTAGAAAATGCTTCTAATGACTTCCTTTAGGGAGCTACAGTTCTAACGCTGCTGTTCACACAGCGGCAGGTGGGTTGGAATGGGGGAATTCAGGGAGTACTAAAATGTGGGAAGACAAATGAGGTACTGGGTGTTGTGATGGTGTATAAATCCCTGATCTGTGCAGTTCTCATAATCTGGAGCCTGTAACTCTTTGTGTAATTTTATTTGTATTTAGAACCTCTTTTAAATCATGTTTCATCTTCTTTTCTACTTGTATGGGAAGGACTGCCTTGAAAGTGCAAGCCTGTTAAAGTTGAGAGCTAGCCCCATTGTTTAAACATCCTTTTTTGAGATAATCCTGATGATTTATGTTCCCCTTTTCCTCTGTAAATTTATCAACCCTCTCTATTCTCTTCCCTGTGAAATAACATCCTTGTTAGGGAATAATTGAAGGCTACTGCTAGTTTTCTAATGCAGCTCCCACCACTTCCCTGCCCTGTAACAGCCTGTGAGCCAGGTCCGTACCCCTAGGGCCAAAGCTTTCCCACTGTGTCTTGAGTTTTTGTGGCTGTCTGGGCTGCTGCCATCACCTTGCTCTGCAGAGTGTGCAGCTGCTGGGCTCAGTGGGACAGGCAGCCATCCGTCACCGTCATCCCAGGTGAGAGGGATGATGTGTCGTGCCAAGCACAGAAGCGCTGCTTTGTGTGAAATGGTTGGCAAAGAAAAAACTGCTACATGGGCCCTGGGCAGGACCTGCCTGGATCAGCAGTGGTGTGTCCAGCCAGATGGGTCCATCAGGGACCCTCCTGCTGTCCCCAACACATCTGACCCTTCCTCATGTCTGTGTCCCATCTGTCATGTCCATGTGTGTCGTCCCGTGTCCTTTAGTTCTTCTCAGGTAAGGAAATCCTTTCTGCAACCTCCAGCCTTCCCTTCTTCCTCCTTTCAAGACACAAAGGATTACCTTGTAGTGTGAGTCAGGTCGATGGTACCTAAGGAGTAGTGTGTTCACAGAGGGAAGTTCTTTCCAAGTCCTTGAATCCAATGTTCATAAAACTAGGGGGTGGTTTGGGTTGGAAGGGATCTTAATGACCATCTAGTTCCAACCCCCGTGCCATGGGCAGGGCCACCTTCCACTAGCCCAGGTTGCCCAAAGCCCCGTCCAACCTGGCCTTGAACCCTTCCAGGGAGGGGGCAGCCACAGCTTCTCTGGAAAACCTGGGCCAGGCCCTCACCTCCCTCGCAGGAAAGAATTTCTTCCTTAGATCTAATCGAAATCTGCAGTCTTCCAGTTTAAAAGTGTCACCCCTCATCCTATCTCTACACCCCTGATCAAGAGTCCCTCCTCATCTTTCCTGTAGCCGCTTTAAGTACTGGAAGGCCGCTATAAGGTCTCCCTGGAGCTTTCTCTGCTTCGGGCTCAACACCCCCAACTCTCTCACCCTGTCCTCACGGGAGGTGCACCACACCCCTGATCATCTTTGTGGCCTCCTCTGGACCCACTCGAACAGGTCTGTGTCCTTCTAATATCGGTGCCCCCAGAGCTGGAGGAAGTACTCGGAGAACGTTTTACTCTGGGAAATGCAGTGACAGCGATGGCTGCACAGGGCTGACATCCGACTCCTTCACCTAGCTGAAAAAAAAAAAAAAAAAAATCAATTAGGCCCTCGGATAAATTATTTTGACCAAGAATTTTCATCTTTCGGGTAACACGTGGCATTGCTGCTTGTTTAAATGATGTGCCTGGATCACGCTCGGCTGCTTTGGGCCTGCAGGGGTGAAGGGAGCAGCGGCGGTCGCTCGCTCCCGAGGAGGCCCAGCCCAGGAC